GTATCAATGTGTTACTGTACATATGTGACGTGTGTCGGTGTTTGCGTGAGAATGGGACTGAGTACAATCGGTTGTTCAAATTTGGTCTCAAATGCACAATTTGTTTATGAAATCTGTCCAACAGCGAGAAATGCTTGAGCTACAATTTTGTTTGTTCACTGTGGAGGTTTGTTGCGAATTTTGCTGTTCAATGGGTCATATTTATGTGTAGATGCGAGACTACGTTTCTGCTATCCGTGAGTATTACAAGGACAGTCTAGCAATGCTGTTAAATACTGTGTTTGCGGCTTTGACAAACCAAAAATTGCAGTTTTTTTGTCAGTCCTAAAATTCGCATCATATCACTTGATTTTGCATCATCCGCATCGGGTGGGCGAAACGTCGCTAATCCGTGTTACGTTCGAGTTGTTGTTCAAAATTCTGTCAGCTATTCCGTCAGATGCATCGTTATGCCAGAACTTCCCTGGCAAAGGTTACAACATTGAGAAAGGAGTTTAATAGACCTGTAAATTATCACGAAATCCATTTCTTGTAGGCCGGGAAAAATACAGGGGAACAGTGCAGCCAATGAGGAAGGATGCATGCTACCACGACGTTTTAATTTTCGTTGGGGGAACAGCAAGCTTGTCAAGCCTGAAAGCATAAAAACAAAGTTTGATAACCTTGCTGTAAGGCCCAAGAAAGGTCGTGGGATAAAACGACTCCGCAGTACATTGGTTACATTGGTATATTGGTACATTGGTACATTGGTTTGGAGTCCGCCATTCATCAGCCGGACGCACACTTTAGTGTGTAGTTTTCCTTATGCGCTGCATACTCACTAGAGGACCAACAAGTACCCTATCAAGTCTCCCTGATGATGGAATGGAGAAGCCTTTTGGTAATAAGCGAAAGTATTTTCCTCATACTAGTGTGCCGTTAAGGAAACATTTCGCATTTTAAACGAAGTGCAGCTAAAAGCAATACCCCAGGAAATCGCTGCGAATTGCCCTAATCATTTGATCACACGGTCTCCTGCGCAACAGGAAAATTAAATTGTTCTCGAGAGTCTCAATCAATGACTGACAATGGAATTGACACTTACATCTGAAGGATAAATTTGGTTTATCCAGACCGTAAACACATTTGCTCCACTGATCTGATAGATCCCACAAATAGCAGACAATCAGTTTGTCGTCCACGTATAAATAGAACCGATTGAACAAGACCGTGTCGTTCGGGAGCATCGGTACACCTCGATCTTTCAATGTGTTGTACGGTTTGCATGGGTCTGTGAAATGCGGAAACAATTACGGTCAAGTAAACATAGGCATTATAATGGCGATCAAGAACTGCATCACCCTCGATCGTCGATTTGTTCAAATGAAGTGCAAAGTTCACATATCAATTTATCAGCGAAATAAAACCCGTTGTGCAATGGAACGTGGGAGGAAGTAGAAAGATCACGTTTATTTCACATACCGAATTGCTGGATATCTCTGCCTGTCGATAGTCCAAACACTTGAATCGAGTTGGGTGAATTTTTTCGTAAAACCACTGACATCCGAAAAGCCATGCGTAACCCTCTGACCGCAATCGGTCCACGCAAAGCAAAGATGTATGTTTGATCGTTTTGCCGGAAAAACGTGGCCTTAAATGATGAGAGCAGAAAGGAAGTGATCTTTACGCTTACCATTCAAGATTATGTTTTGTTCCAAACCATTTATCTTGCAAAGTTTTTCCCATGGACAATTTAGCAACAGCGGTCTAATCAGGAGATTGGTGTCTCTTTATTATCTGCGGGAATGGTTCGAATATGTCTCCATTCGCCCTGCTATGATTCTGCATGCAGCACACACTCGCTCAACATTTATGTTCCAAATTGTTCCCCCTCACTCTTTCTCTCTCTCTCGAAATCGCCTAGCGGCCAGTGACATTTTCTCCGCCAAATCTGATTACTTCCTCATGGTCTATCTCAATGGAAATGCAACGACTTTTAATCCTTCTGGTGATCTGACTCGCCAATACACTGATCATGGATTGATTGGAATTACAATTTGCATAACTCATAAATGATCAGTTAAATCAAGTTGACTTACGTTTTCCATAGTGGTGAACGCTTGGCCTTCCATTGTTACTTCAATACCCGCCATGAAAGCATTCCTATTTAATCCTTTGAAGTTCAGGCGTACGTAGTACACCACGTGTAGCGAGCCGAACAACACGCTGATGTGTTGTGCACAATATGGGTGCGTCTCCACGCCCGTATTCATTGGGCAAACCGCTAAGGGCGTTTCAACCAATGGGCAGCACTCACTGTGGATCCTCATAGTGCAGTCACTTTCGTTGTCTGAATTGCTTGCAATCAATTTTAAGTGAGTACCTGAGACGAAATACAGAATTGCACGTAATTTTCGAAAGAATATCTGTCATCGTGAGTGTCTATCGCTGATCATCTTGCTCGTTACTAAACATATCATGGTTAATGTAATCATTTTATTTAGTTATCAATAATCTCAGTCAGAAATGTGCAAAACAGAACTCAGAGTGCGAGTTCATGCGAATGTACCAGATTGTGCGAAAAAAATAAATATCTTCATAATGATGACTCGAGTGCCACGTTCGTTCACTCGGCGTGCGGTCGCTCAATTTGTGTGCTCGCGATTTAGTGGATTTTCTGTGTCAAAACTCGTCGTACAAAGTCGAGTTTGCGCTCATTCGACTCAGTTCGGTGAGCTTCATTGTGTGATATTACTCCCTTGGATATATAACCTACGTGAATAACGTTTCTACTGTTGGANCGCCGTATCTTCATTGTGATATCATTTTGAAGAAAATTCTACGCTCTATCCAACGAGATATTTTTCAGCTCTCTGGGATCATTTCTAAGAGAGTTACGGATATAAATTTTGTTATTCAATTCTGTTCCGTTCTCCATCGCGTCTGCACGTGTGTCCTTCCAACCATCTTCGATCACAAAGATCGATACGCACCGGTTCCCACCGATCATTGTCTTGCACGCTCACTTTTCTCTCTGAGGTGTGGTTCACTCAGCCATTTCGACCTCGCTTCATTTGACTTTCGTCAACTTGACCTTTGTTAACACTCCCATCTCGCTGTTCACAGAATACAAAAAAAAATGGGCCGCCGATGTTTGTCAACGCAATTAGTCACACGAGGTTTGAGTGTGTGCGGTTAAACAGGCTGCGGAAAGGAGGTCAAAACAGGAATGCCATGCGCAACAAGTGGAAAATTCCGGGAATAAAATACTGAAGTGACATGAGAATTTGAAGTAAGATGG